ATGATGCTGATGATGATGATGATATTGCTGATGATGATTCGGATGATGAGGATGATGATAAGGAGGAGGAGGAAGAGGAGGATTGTGATATGATGATGCTGATGATGATGATGATGGTGATGATGATGATGATGGTGCTGACCATGATGCTGATGCTGATACTGATGCTGATGATGCTGATGATGACGAAGATGCTGCTGCTGCTGATGATGCTGCTGATGATGCTGCTGACGATGATGATGCTGCTGCTGATGATGATGATGATGATGATGATGATGATGATGATGATGATGATGATGTTGATGTTGATGTTGATGCTGCTGCTGCTGCTGATGATGATGATGATGATGATGATGACGACGATGATGATGATGATGATGCTGCTGGTGATGGCGACGCTGATGCTGATGCTGCTGAGGAGGAGGATGAGGATGAGGATGAGGACGGTGAAGGTGAGGGTGAGGATGAGGATAATGAGGCTGAGTCTGAGGATGAGGATGAGGATGAGGGCGAGGGCGAGGGGGAGGAGGAGGAGGAGGAGGAGGAGGAGGAGGAGGAGGAGGAGGAGGAGGAGAGGAGGAGGAGGAGGAGGAGAGGAGAAGCAGCAGGAGCAGGAGCCGGATCAGGAGCAAGAGCAGGAGCAGGAGCAGGAGCAGGAGGAGAAGGAGAGGAGGAGGAGGAGAAGGAGGAGGAGAAGGAGGAAGAGGAGGAGGAGGAAGAGGAGGAGGAAGAGGAGGAGGAGGAGGAGGAAGAGGAGGACGACGACGAGGGGGTTGGGAGGGGGAGGAAGGGGGTGAGGAGGGGGAGAAGAAGGATGCCAACGATGACGCGCAGGAGCAGCAAAAGGTGGACCATGACTCGGACGACGAATACGAGGAGGAGTCCAAGCGCAAGGACGACGAGCGAGGAGAAGGTGGAGGTGCCGAGGCCGCCCGCCTCTCCGAGAGGCCCGCGGCGACCGATGGCCTCGACGCGCCCTGCGGCGCGACGGCAGGCTCGCATGCGGCCGCCTCGGCGCACCTCCCGGCTGCTGGGGTTCGCCGCCGCGGCGGCAGCCGCACACAGCCTCGACGGCCTCCTTCGAGTGGCCAGCGGCGACGTGCCGCGCGGTGCGGCGCGACGGCAGGCTCGAATGCGGCGGCTTCAGCGCAGCCATTGGCTGCGGCAACCCCGACGGCGCTACTTGCCGCCGCGGCGGCGGCAGCTGCACGGGCCTCGGCGGCCTCCCGGAGGGGCCAGCGGCGACATGATGCGCGGTGCGGCGCGACGGCAGGCTCGAGTGCGGCAGCTTCAGCGCAGCCACTGGCTGCGGCAGCCCCTCACCGCCCACCAAACCACCCCAACACAACCCGAAGGCCCCGACTTGCCCTCCACTCCAGTGTGGGGGGGTCGGGGAACATTGAAAAAGCACACATATGAAGCCCGTTCCTTCCCCCAACCCGAAATTCTTTACGCTTCGCGTATCTCCACCAGCCCATCTCACAACAGCAACTCTTGCGAAGCGTGCCGACAGTGGTGTTTTTCAGGCGTGTGTCCGCTTGGCCCCGCATATCTCCCCTGTTCCTCTTTGTGGGGGGAGCGGGAGAAGGACGAGGCGAAGGAGGAGGGAGAGAAAGCGCTCCTCGTGGTTTGAGTCGTTTGGGGTTTCTCGTCCTGGTCTGAGTCGTTCGGTCCGTTTTCCTGGTGTGAGTCGTTCGGGCTCTTCGTTGTGTGAGTCGTTCGGGCTCTTCGTCCTGGTGTGAGTCGTTCGGGCGCTCGTGGTGTGAGTTGTTCGGGCCCGTCGTCCTGGTGTGAGTCGTTCGGGCTCCCCCTCCTGGTGTGACTCGTTCGGGCTCCTCGTGGTGTGAGTCGTTCGAGGCGCGCGTCGTGGTGTGAGTCGCTCGGGCTCCTCGTGGTGTGAATGGGTCGCGCGCCTCGTCCTGGTAGGAGTCGTTCGGGGTCCTCCTTCTGGCGTGAGTCGTTCGGGTTCTTCGTGGTATGAGTCGTTCGGGCCCCTCGTCCTGGTGTGAGTCGTTCGGGCTCCTCGTGGGGCCTCTTGGCGGCCTCTTGGAGCCTCTTGGGGCCTCTTGGGGGCCTCTTGGCGGCCTCTTCCCTCGGGAGGCCAAAATGGGGCCAAAACCCTCGTAAAAGCAACGATTTTGGCTTCACAGAAGAGGAGGGGGCTACAAGAGGGTCCCCCCGTCGGGGCCAGAATCCTCGTAAGGGTCGTCGTTTTTTTGCCCTCCCAGGCGTCGAAAAAGACCCCCCTGACCACCCGCGGGGCTCCCTCTCCAGGCCCAGGGGGAGGGGGTAGGGGGAGGGGTAAACCCCTCCCCGAAGGGGAAAAAGGGGGGTTGGGGGGTTGAGAACAGAGAGAGCTCGCTAAACCACTCACGCCCAAAGGGTGGGATTCGGGCCTTCGGGTTGGGTTGGGGTGGTCTGGTAGGTAGTTAGCCCCGACGGCGCTGCTTGCCGCCGCGGCGGCGGCAGCCGCACCGGCCTCGGCGGCCTCGGCGGTGCCGTGCTGCCTTGTGCGGGCGGGATGCCCAGCGCCCGGCGCAGTTGGTGCCGTCGCGACAGCTTGGCAGGCTTCTGTTCCTGGAGTCCCGAAAGAAAGACCGAAGTCCACAGTCGTCGGGGCCACCCGAGTCCAGCGACGCTCAAACAAAGCCACCGAGCAGCGCTCCTGAGTGGCCCATCGGGTGTTGCTAGAGATGTCCCTGGCCTGTGGTGTCGCCGTGATTTCCAGTCGTAGGCTGAGAGAAGGGTTGTTGGACAAGTTTGGTTTCGCTAGATCTTAGCGCCCCCCAGCCCGACCTGAGGCCCGCCGTTCTCGATCCAGGGAGGCCCCCGCGGCCTCCAGAGCACTCCTCAAACGGCGCAGAGGGCCCCAGGGGCTTCCAAATGGAACGACAAATTTGGGACACATTGTGCAAGAGGCACCTGTGGCAACCCCCGAGCCAAGCCACGCTGAGCCGCAAGTGGAGGTGCGCTGCGCGCCGGACCCACAGGGTCGTTCGGCGCCATGTGGGAAAGCCGCACCGACCGCGGCCATCCGCAACGCCCCGGGAGCCATGCCACGAAAGCCGCCTGGGGCTCAAGAGATGGGTGTCAGTGCAAATGGTGGTCAGTCAGAGCGCCAGATCTTGCAGGATCTGCAGAGCCAGGGGTGCACTGACCCAGGCTTAGGTGCAGGATCCCCCTCCTCCTCCTCCTCCTCCTCCTCCTCCTCCTCCTCCTCCTCCTCTTCCTCTTCCTCTTCCTTTTCCTCCACAATAAAACGATATGAATACTACTCCTCTCTCCCCTGGTGGCGTCCGGGAAATGGCCAGCCCCCTCCGCGTATTGTTTTTTTACAGGATTCCCTGGAATTGGGTTTTCGCTTGGGTTTTGTTTGAAAATGTTGCTCTCGCTAAAGCGCTGGCCTCATTTTCGGGCTACCGCTCGTTCCGAATCGTGCTCCCGCTCGCTGGCCTCATTTCCGCGCTTCTGCTCGTTCCGAATCATGCTCCAGCTGTAGCGTTGGCGTCATTTCCAGCGCCATCCCACGGCATGGTTTTCAGTCCTTCCAAATAGGCCCCAAATCTACAAAATGGCCTCCCGAAGAAGCCATCGGATGTGATTCCACATTCAGTGTCGATTCGTTGATATTTTGGACCGCAGAAGCCCCCCCCAAAACTTTAAGGCGTCGCCACGCCATGCTATGTCAGACTACGCGTTCTCATTGCCGCGCTTCCGCGCTTGTTTTTTTGTTCAAAGTGCGGCTCTCGCTGAAGCGCTGGCCTCATTTTCGGGCTACCGCTCGTTCCGAATCGTGCTCCCGCTCGCTGGCCTCATTTCCGCGCTTCTGCTCGTTCCGATTCGCGCTTCTGCTGCAGCGCTGGCGACATTATTTCCAGCGCCATCCCACGGCATGGCCATCGGATGTGTTTCCACATTCAGTGTCGATTCGCTGATATTTTGGACCGCAGAAGCCCCCCCCCCAACTTCAGGGCGTCGCCACGCCATGCTATGTCAGACTACGCGTTCTCATTGCCGCGCTTCCGCGCTTGGGTTTTGTTCAAAGTGCGGCTCTCGCTGAAGCGCTGGCCTCATTTTCGGACTACCGCTTGTTCCGAATCGTGCTCCCGCTCGCTGGCCTCATTTCTGCGCTTCTGCTTGTTCAGAATCGCGCTTCGCTGCAGCGCTGGCGTCATTATTTCCAGTGCCATGCTACGGCATGTTTTCGGTCCTTCCAAATAGGCCCCAAGATCTGAAAAATGGCCTCCCGAAGAAATCATCGGAAGTGACTACAAATTCGGTGTCGACTCGTTGATATTTTAGGCCGCAGAAGCCCCCCACTTTGGGGCGTCGCCACGCCATGCTTCGTCAGGCTACGCGTTAATCGTCAACACCATGCCAGACCATGTAATGCCATGTCATTCTACGATTTCCGATTGTGCGAGTAGAGAGGAGATCTACGCCATGGCGCCATGGTAAGGGATGCGAGGGAGGGGTAGAACGTCAGATATGATGCGAGCGCACCAAGCTGGCCCTCCTCCCCCGCCTCCCCCGCCTCCCCATCCTCCTCCTCCTCCTCCTCCTCCTCATCCTCCTCCTCCTTCTCCCCCTCCTCCTCTTCCTCCTTCTCCTCCTCATCATCGTCGTCGTCATCATCATCATCATCATCATCATCATCATCATCATCATCATCATCATCCTCATCCTCATCCTCATCCTCATCTCTCATCATCATCATCATCATCATCATCATCATCATCATCACCATCACCATCACCATCACCATCACCATCACCATCATCACCATCATCATCATCATCATCATCATCATCATCATCATCATCATCATCATCATCATCATCATCATCATCATCACCATGATTGTGGGTACCACGGGATTGCTGTCTCCGCGCAGGCGACTGTCGTGATTGCAATGGTCTGTGATCGTTTGTGCTCAAGCTTTTGGTGGTGTCATGGTCCTAGGGGACTGGACACCCGCGACCGTCGGGCTCTTTCGCGAGGCGATACGCGGCGCCGGCGCTGAGGCGGCCAGGCTGCTGCTCGTGCGGGAGACAGGCTCCCTGCCCGTCCTGCCCCCTGTGGTCGGGCTGTCCTTCGCCCGAGCCGGCGAAGTGCCCCGAGCCTCCCGCCTGCCCGGACCTTGGCGTTGTGGTGGCGATCGGTGCGGGCGGAGCGGAGAGAAAGGGAGGAGGCGGCGCTGGGAGTGACAGCGGCCCTGTGTGCGGCCTGCTGGTCGTTGGGCTGGACGTGTGGGCGTTGCCAGCGTGGAGGAGCTGGTGGACGAGGGCTGCGCGAGCATCATGACTAGTCGTGCGGACCGCATGCCAGGGAGGAGGGTGCTCGTCCGCTTCGAGGGGGACACCTACGCCCACGTGCGAGTACTCCTGTGGCCGACCCACTTCGACGACAGGTACGAGAGCTGGGTGATTTTCACCGCCGATGATGATTTGTATATAGAGCGGGTGCGAGATTGGACCTGGATCTACGACTTGACCGAGGGGTGGCCACCAGGGCTATGGGCCGGAGTCGTGAGGTTCAGGACCCCACCGACGGCGAACGAGGTGCTGGCGAAGGTGCTTGATGGCCGAGACGAGGCGCTGATGTACCAGGCCAGGCGCAGGCTGCCGGAGCGCCTTGGCCGGCGGTTGGGTGAGGAGCCGACCGCCTTCCTGGACTGGCGCGGGCGCGAGCTGGTCGTCGAGGACAGCGTGCTGAGCCGTGTGCGTCGGCGGCTGACCAACAAGGGGATGAGCTCCGAGCTGCGGCTGGCCGAGGCGAGCGGCGACGAGCTCACCACGCGGCCCGCGCTGGGAGGCGCGGCGGACGGCGGCGCCGGGGGGGCTGGCGGCGGGGCAGGCGCTCTGGTGCCTGCATCGCCGGGCGCGGCCCCTGGCGGCCACGGCGGTTCCGGGCTCGTGGACGGCGTCTACGTGGTGGCGGAGGTGCGTGCCCCAACGGCATGCAGCTTGGCGACCCCGTCGTCGGAGGGCAGGCCGAGAGCCCGCGCGGCTGCCGGACCGTGATGCTGCTCGACGACGGCGCCCGCGTGCTGTGCGAGAGAGCGGCGGCGGACGACGTGGAGGAGCGGCGCCGGGCGGCGCGTGAGGCAGCGGGCAGGTGCGGCGCTGCGCAGCAGGACGGGCGCGGCGCCGCGTGCCAGGTGGACGACCCGCGGGCAGAGTTCGCAGCGGCCGACGCCGGGGTCGACAAGATCGGAGGCGCGGCGACGCCCGTGCCGGAGGCTGAGGTCGAGGGCGACGCGCGGACCTTGTGCGTCGAGTGGACGTCCGAGGGCGCCCGGTTCAAGACGTGGCGGAAGGCCGTGGAGGAGAGCACGCATCTCACCATGGAGCAGCGTGAGCTCCGTGGCGCGTGCACTTGCCTCCATCTGTGTCGCCGTTGCCTTCAGCGCACGGGGTGGCCGAAGACGTGGTTGCTGTCTTTCTGCAGGGGGCACGGGGTCTCGTCCAAGGATCGGTCCTGCCACGAGCTGACCGCGCTTGTGCAGGCGCTGTGGCTAGCCGGGGCCTGCGACGGTCTGAACCTGGGAGGCGTCGCGGCCCTGGAGTCTGTGGCCAGGTGCATGGCGACGATCGTGGAGGCGCACAGAGCGGGTCAGCGCCGGGCCAGGCTTCCTGGGACAGCGCCCGCTACCCGACGGGGGTCGTGGACCCGTTCGACGCTGCGAGCCCGAAGCTCAGGTCGTTCGCGAGCGGGGCGGCCAGGGGCGAGGCAGAGCGGCATCTGGCGACGACGAGGGGTCCTGCTGCTGGTGCCCGACAGGAGTGGGTTCGAGGAGACGGGAGCGGCGCCGGCGCTGGGCGGGCTGCCCGCGGCGAAAAAGGAAGCCAAGGGCGGCCCCGAGGGCGCGGCGGCAAAGGCTAAGGCCAAGGCAAGGGCCGCCGCCGCCGCCGCCGCCAGCGCGGGCGCCCTTGGCGCGGCGGGATGAGCACCTGGCGCGGGCCTGGGAGGTGGCCGACACCAGGCAGACGAGGCTGGCGGCGCAGGGCAGCACCTCCCAGCACCGCTCGTGGATCAGCTCGATTTTGACATCGGCGCGGGGCTATGCGGCGGAACAAGCTGCGAGTGAAGCGGCTGGCGAATGACGCCATCGAGAGCTTGAATTGGATGCGTGGCGCGCGCTGGCGAGAGGCTGGCCGCGCGGAGCCGCGCCTGGTGACCGCCGAGACGGTGGCCGGGCTGCGGCGCGACGCGCAGCGGCGGGCGCAGCTGGCCGCAGCTGGCTGGAGGCGTCCGAGCAGCGCGGGGCCCTCGCAGCGAGCTCGTCCACAGCTGCTGCGGGGTCACGGCCCCTGCGGGGCCGAGGCCCGAGCTAACCTGGCCTCCTTCGCGCGCGACCGGCTCGGCATCACAGGCGGCGTCAGGCTGGCGCCGCGCATCGACCAGTTGCTGCTGGATACGGCCCGTAATTTTGCGAGGGAGTATGAGAGCTACGCGCCGAGGCCGCGTGGCCATGCTCGACGAGGCGCCGGGGCCAGGGCGGCCCGATACCGACCCTGTTCTGCGATCCAATCGAAAGGTATATGTGGGGCTGGTGAAGAGACTCTTACGGATAGGGCTGGCGCGGCTGAGCGCCGGCAAGACGTGCGACGCGGGCGTGTTCGTGGTCAAGAAAAAGGACGGCGCGCAGCAGGGGCTGATCTTAGACTGGCGGGCGCCCAACATGCAGTTCGCGTTTCCCCCGAGCGTCGGCATCCTGACGGGCGAGGGGCTGGGCCGCGTGGGGCGGCAGGCCGGGGGGCGCGGGGGCGCGCGCCTCAGGACCTCCGACGTCGGGGACTGCTTCCACAGCTGAGGTTCCCCAAGGACTCCAAGCTGGACGAGTACTTCGCCTGCCCCGAGCTCTGGGCCTCCGAGATGGGGCTCGCCTGGTGGGAGAGCAGGCGTCTACCCTACGTCGTGGCCCTGCGCCCGCTGGCGCAGTCTCTGCCCATGGGATGGGCATGGGGTCTCTACTGCGCCCAGGAGGCGAACGCCAGGCAGATGGAGCTGACCAAGGAGCTCTCTGGGGCCCAGCTTCAGGACCGAGGGCCTCCCTTGGTGCTTCGAGGAGGCGAGGGGCCTGGGGCCCAAGGGAAGTGCTGCTACGTGGACAACCTGGGCGCGCTGGCGGACGACGAGGACTACGCGCGGCAGGGGCTGGCCGCGGTGACCGAGACCTTCGGGGGCCAGACGCTGACGGTCCACGACACTTTGCTTGCGTTTCAGTGCGGCTTTGCGCTCGGGGTGGAGGTGGGCGGGCAGTTGGGCCGGACTCGGCCTATTGCCAAGAGGTTCTGGCGCGTGAGGGACTCCATCCAGGAGCTGGTGCACCGCGGGGCCTGCTCCGGGCAGGAGCTCGAGGTCCTGGTCGGGCACGTGGCGTTCGTGGCCCTGCTGTCCATCCTGCACGCGACGTACAGGTACGCGAAGAAGCAGCATTTCACCAGGGCGCCGCTCCGGGCGAGCGCGAGGCAGGAGCTCCTCGCGTTCGGCGGCGTGATGGTGTTCTTGGAGGCGAAATGGGGCGACGAGTGGCTGCCGGGCGCCTGCCAGACCGACGCGTCGCCGTGGGGCTTCGGCGTTGCCTACTCGCGGTGGCCGAAGGCGGCAGTCGCCGACGCTGGGCGGGTGCCCGAGCGGGCGCGGTTCCGCCTGGGCGCCGAGGCGGCGAGGGGCCGCGCCTCCGCTGCCGCCGGGCTCGAGGGGCAGGAGGGCGGGGCGGCGCGGGCGAGGGCCGAGCCCACCGACGCGGAGGTGCCGAGGTGGGAGCGGGACATGGCGTTCCCTGAGCTGACAGCCCACCTCCTTCCACGGGTCCCTCTGGACCACCGTGATGGCCGACAAGTGGAGGTGCCAGGAGGGGGCCGTCCACCTGGAGGCCCGAACCGCGCAGAAGGGGATCGAGCGTTTGGCCCGCAGCCAGCGCGGGCACGATGCGCGAGCCCTGTTCGTGGGAGGCAACCTGGCGCTGACCCTGGCGCTGGGCAGGTCCCGATCCAGGGACTTCAAGCTGCTGACCCTCATCAGGCGAGCTGGTTCGCTGGCCTTGGCCCGAGGCTTGCGACTGGTTTTCCGATGGGCGCCTTCAGAGCTGAACAGCAGCGACAAGGGAAGCCGATTGTTTGAAGAAAAGTATGACGAAAAGCAAGACGCCACTTGGATCGTGTCCTGTGTCCCCGCGTCACACGTCGACAAGGGGGTTCCTGGTGGAGCTGACATTGAGGGTCCGATGGGGGTGTCCGAGGTGCAAGATCGGGGAGTCTCTGGGCGAATATCTCGACGAAGGTTCAAACAATCCTGAGCGTGAACGAGGTGAGCGAGAAAATGGAGCAGAGCAAATCGAGAGCAGAGAGCAAAGAGAATAGCGACAAGAGCGAGAGCACGGAGAGCGAGCAGATGATGAACAACGGGATCGAGAGACACGAGGGGAGCGAGAGCAAGAAACAGCAGCAAGCCTAAGTTTTCAGCACGGAGCCAGACAGCGAGCGCGACCGCCCGTCATCCATGTGGCTCAACCTGGACAGGGGCACGCAGGCGCGTCGGGAGAGAACCCTGGCCAAGCCCGCGCCGAGGCCCCAGTCTCCCCGGGCCGGGCGATCGAGGGCGCTGCCCGCTGCGTCTGGGAGCCAGGGTCGGGAGAGAAGCCGGAGCTCGAGGCGTGCCCCTGCTGGCGAGGCTGGCGGCGCCGGCGCTGGAGCCGACCGTCTCGCTGGAGATTGGCCAGGCAGGGCCCGCCGCCAGCGGGCGCCGCCTTAACCGTCGAGGACGGCGAGAGCGACTCCGCCTCCGAGGAGGCGCCGGCCAGGGCGGACCGCCGGGGCGAGCTGCTGGCCCGACAGCGGGCGCGGCGGCCGAGGGGGTCGTGGCGAGGCCCCCTGGGCAGAGCTATCTGGAGGCCGCCAGCGTGTCAGTCGAGTCCGATATCGAGACTGCGTGCGAGAGCTCTTGGCCTTCGCCGACCTGGACAACATGGCGCTGCGCGGGGGCGACGAGGTGGGCGAGCGTCTCGCGTCGTGGATGAACATGCGGCACCAGCTCGGGGACAGGGCGTGACGGGGCGAGTACATGGCGGCCGCCCTGATGTACGCCTTCCCGAGTTTCGCGAGAGGAGAGGGCGGGCACCTGCCGCGCACCTTCCGGTGCCTGAAGGGATGGAGGAACTTGTGACCGAAGTGCAGCCGCTGGCTGCTCCCGTGGGCGGTGTGGGCCGCGCTGGCGCTGGAGCTGCTGAGAGGGGCGGGCCGGCTTCGGGGCGCTGCTGATGGTGGACGCGTACATGAGGCCGTCCTGGCTGCTGAGTCGATCTCCGACGCGGGTCCCTGGTGCCGCCGGCGCGCGGAGGGCTTCGGGACCGGGGCCTGCACTTCTTCCCCCAGGAGGAGGCCAAGCGCAGCAAGGTCGGGAGCGCCGAGCGCCGACGACACCGTGGTGACGAACTCCGAGCGGATGCGGTGGGTCGACCCAGTGCTGGCGCACCTGGCTTCAGGTCCCGCGTCGGAGGCTGTTCCCGTGGGACTACCAGCAGTTTGGCCGGCCGGTGCAGGGAGCGGGGGAGCGTTTGGGGGTCGAAGTGGCGCCGTGCCAGGCTTGGCACAGCGGCATCAGCCTCGACCAGGCGTTCCACCTGAGGACCCAGGAGGAGGCGAGGAAGAGAGGAAGGTGGTCATTATTTCGCTCTGTCGTGCGCTACGAGAAGACGGGTCACCTGAGCGATGCGTGGAGAAACCTGAACCCAGACGTGCAGGCACCCGCCCTCGTCTGCGAGGAGTGTCTGGTCGACGTGTATCTGCGAGGGCCCCCCCTGCTGGCGCGTCCGATGCTGTAGAGGCGACGGCGTGCTTCCTGGACCTCTTCTCGGGAGTCGGCGGGGCGGCGCGTGCTGCGCGGCTCTGGAGGTTCGAGACCAGAGAGTGCGACCTCCGAGGCGGCCCTGCTGGGGATCTCCTGAGGAGGTGCGTGCAGGCTCAGGTTCTGGCTAGCCTGCGTAGGGGGCTGGTCCTGGCCGTCATGATGGCCCCGCCGTGCACCTTTTTCGATTGTCCAGAATTCGTCGTGCCCGATTCGCAGCAAGCAATATCCACGAGGCCTTCCCAGGCTCCCAGCCGACAGGAAGGTAAAGGTGAGGTAGGGGAACAGTTTTCTCGATTTTGTAATTCAAGTCGTGCGCGTGTGTTTGCGAGAGTGCGATAGCGGGTGCCATTGTGAGTCGAGCGCCCGCAATCCAGCTATATGTGGCACGATGAGATGCTGTGCCACGCTCTAGGAACTGTGCACTCGAAAATCTGCGATGTCCATCGGTGCCAAGCCGGCTCTGTGCACAGGAAGGCCACCATATTGGCTTTCGGCTGTTGCGACGAACTAGACCTGGGGAGACTGGGCTGGCCCGTCGAGGGCCGTGCCAGGGCAAACATGGTTTTTGCTCGGCGACACGGCGCAAGCATGTAGTTGTAGAAGGGTCGCGAGCGACAGCGGCGTCGGCCGCTTACCCCCCTCGGCTGGCCGGCGCCCTGGCCAGGGCTCTCCTCTCAGCATCTGCTCTGCGAAGGGAGTCCAACAAGTATTTGTGACGCTGCGCTGAGAACTACCGATTCGGGCCTC